CGGCATTTTGAAGTTTCGGCGTTATGGAACTATGCAGGAAAGCAGGGTCTGGCCTAACGTGTGCTTCTCCAAGGAGGGAGAAAATGATATGGTAATATTTGAATGCCTGAGGATGAATGTGTGTACATGTGGTGTGAATGTTGAGTGAAAATGTAATTCCCCTTTGTTTTGTTTGTTAACCAATGTAATTGTAAATCCAATATAGTTGCATAGAATCTGTATGTCTGTATGTCCAATGTCATTCTATGTCTAAATATTTTTCTGTAATCTAACATGCCCTCTCACACTGGAAACTGCAATAAAAAAACCCCTATGCTTTAAAGTAATTAAAAAGTCACTCATAATACATATGTGACTAAAACTGTTCACCACTGTCTCCTGTTACATGAGGGCAGAATCCTTCTTGGTAGCAGGTATCCGTCATCTTTGCCTCCAACCATCTCCATGGGAATGCATTGTATGAACACATAGCCCCCCCCCCCCCCGAAACGTATGGGAATTAAAAATACCAGTTTTTGTTTTGCCACACCTCTTGAAATTGGAGAAGAAATTCACAGTTTTTAACCTTTGTAAATTGGTTGGAAAATCCAAGCAGACAGTTTTAAACACTAACAATTTGAAACTGTGTGCAACATACATAAAAACAGAAAGGTCACTCTACAAACTCCTCCAAACCTGCCCGGTAAAGCTGTTCTTCATCCATGGCTGCTTATTTGTTACATCTCCTTGCTTATTTCACAGCTGGTCTGTTCTGTGGGTTATTCTGTTTTCTACCAACCAAAGGCAACTTGAATAATTCTATCGTCCTTCCCCAAGGGTTCATAGAGCTGATAGTTATAAAAGAACTTGAATCTCGTGGCTGAACTACAGATACTTTTATCTCATCATGCCTAAGCCAGTATCTCCACAGGTGAAGGTGTGTGTATATTTTCTTTTTGTGAGAATGCTTGTGAGCATTTGCTATTTCCCATTTCAAAAAGAACATTTGGGTCTCTGCCTGCCTCAACTGATATTCTTGGAGAACTGGCATTTGATTGCAAAGGCAAATAGCCATAGACAGCTGCCTTTGCTTGCAAAGATGGAAAGAATATTTGGTGCAGCTTGTGGGCAATTTCCCCCTCAAACCATGTAAAATGCATAAAAGCAACTTTCTCTTGAACCCCTCCTCCCAAATATCTCTATTTCCCTTCACATCATCATTTTCAGTCACCATTTTGGGAAAAGCATGGATGAAAAATAAGAGAGGTCAACCTCCCATGGATTATGGAGAAATGTCTCCTGTTCACACATTTGCTCGTCCAAAGTATGGCTGAGCAGTTTCTCAATTGGTTGGGGCATCAGAGGACCTCTCCTCATCTATAGCAGAGCAACATTTCCATTGATTATGTTAAGAAACATGGCACAAAGGGACTGCATACCTGGCTACTTAGCAAAATTGTACACTGGATAATCCAATAGAAATGCAGTTCTGCTTGGAAAAAAATGTGTATGCTCCCCACCAATAATATTTCCCAACAGTATCACTGGAATTTTTGCTGTAGATGTGGCAGAAACATCAACACTAATAGGAACTAGGGAAAACACATATATAGACTCCCAAAATGTACTTTGATTATTGGTAACTTGCATTGTTTTTGCTCTTTGTGGGAGCATGATTATGGTTTCTGTTTAGCATATTTGGTGCCTGTTGCTCCAAGGGTACTATTGTGCACTTGTGGTGCTTTTTGTCATGGCCTTGGGCCCGTACAATAAACTATTTTGTTTGATTGACATATATAGACGGTGGTCATCTACAGCCCAAGGATTGTGATAGGTACTCAAAGCTTTAGAAATCTCATTCTCATTGACAAGAATTAGTACTTTTACTATTTTTTTCTCCATACTGCCCAATTTCCGAAGGCTATTAACAGTTTAGGACTTCAGGAAAAGAGAAAAAGCAGGGGGAAGTTGTGTAGAAAATACAATTTTTGTACAGAAATCCTACTTTCTGTGGACAACTTTAGTTTTCTGCACAGAAATTGTTATTTTCTTGGCAAAAACCTGCATGTATTTCTCCCTACAGAAGAAATAACTTCCATTCTTCTCTGTCCATAATACCCCTTGTTAGTGTTTCGCGATGCTCAGAAAACCCATTTTATAACTATTATTTGATTTTTAAGAGTATTCTATTTGAATTATTTGTCCATATTATTTGAATATTTTTGCATATTTTCTACCTCTATTTGTGTGTTGCCCACATGTGTCCTAAAGGGTGTTTCAGCAAGCATATCAATATGGAAAGAGTTCCCTCAAAACCCTGGCTTAGCAAGGCGATACTTTAGAAGGTTTAGAACTGTTTTGAAAAAGGGAGTAGTGGCAGGACCGTGCGCCTGAATAACAGAACAGGCATTGGGATGTACAGAACATTTTTCATCTCTTGGCCAAGCTGAAAATGTCACTGTACCCAAGTATTAATAATTTTCTGGGCCGTGTCCTTCCGTGGCACCAATCAAGATAACCTTTCTTGACTGTCTACGTGTTAATCAAAACCCTGATCATTTGTGTTTGAGGCATATTTGAAGTTTGTCATTATCATAGCTCTCAATTTCATTTGGTGCATGTGTCATGCATATTAGTCTATCATGAGACATTTTAATACAGAACAGCTAATTGGCAGGGTAAATTCCTTCTCTTTTTTTTACTGGATTTTAAACAAAAGTGATCATTTGTAAAAGAAAATATAATCTTGATCATTACATTCGGTCTAATTAAACAATGAGGCATATCAGGAGTGTGGTAATCACAAGATAATCACATCCCTGGCATAATTATCAGGTGTAGGGCACCGCCAAGTATCTCTAATGCCTCAAAGTGTGATTATCTTGTGATAACTGCACCCTGTAGGTTGCCTAATTTTCATTACAAAATGGAATTATTTTTATTAAAATGAACACAGGGTGGGAGTGGGGGCAGTGTCCTTTTCTTCCAAAGCAGGAAGCAAAGTGTGCAGTGCTTAGCAAGAATTTCAGGTGGACTGATAAAATGTGGCTTAATCATTGACTGCAGGTGCTCTGTTTTTTTCCTCCACATGGCTTCACTTTGATATGAATTAGTGACAGACTTGATATGTCTGGATCAGTGAGGAGCTTTTTTAAAAAATGAGGGTCAAGTCAGTTGCAGTGAATAGTAGTACTGCATACAAGAACAAGAGGATTAAAATATATTTCGGGAAGTCTAGAGTTTATATTAACATGAATAATGGGTGCAATTCTTCAAAATTTATAATGTTGTGTGCCTTCAAATTATTTTCAGCTTCTGGCAACCTTAGATTGAACCTGTTACAAGATTTTCTGGGACTGAGAGAGAGGGACCTTCCATACAGCCCTATATCCCAGAATATCAAGGCATAAAATCCCACGATATCTGCTTTGAACTGGGTTATCTGAGTCCACACTCAGATAATGTGGGATTTTCTGCCTTGATATTCTGGGATATAGGGCTGTGTGGAAGGTCTCAGAGACTCACCAAGGGTTACCCAATGTGTTTTCATGACTGAATGGGAATTCTGGACTCCAAAGTCATAGTCCAACACTCTAACCACTATGCCATGCTGGCTAGTGGCTACTGTATTGTATAATTTGTTTGGGGTTCATATAGGGATGCCAAGTTTAACTGGAAATCTATGTACTCAAAACCTTGATTTGTTGTTTTTCCATGTAGTTCAATTCTGGACCCCATCTGGATACTCAGTTTCTTGACTGTCTGGAATGAGCAAATGAAACCATTGCTCCGCTTGTCTCTTCTCTTCCTTGGTGCTTATAGTTTAGCCACCTGGGCATTGACCTGGGATGACATTGCCCCTGGGCCCAGCCCTCCTTTGTGTTCCTTGATGCAGCATGAGGTACTGCAGCACCTGCATTTTCCCTAATTATTTGATCATCCTTTGATTGATGAGAATTGATTGTGGCTCTTGTCTGTTATAGCTCTTAACTGCTTTTATTCAACTGAATGGAGATGCAAAAGACTTTTTTCCAAATATAATTCAGCCAATGATCATACTGTTGATTTTACATGAAGGCTGCTTTAAGGCTGTAGAATATTTTATTCCAATGAAGGCCTTTGACAGGCTTACCCCTATTGATCTCCATGCAACACAAGAAGCCTCCCATGTTGTCGCTGTGGCAGCATACGCCAGTTCCCTTCTCTTTTACCACATAGCCTCGCTGGAAGTAGCCGTGTGTTGTAGGATGGGAGCCGACAGGCTCCATGGCGAAAGGGAAGGGGATGATTCCAAATTCAGCCCTGTCTGATGAGGTCATATCAGATACCATTGCTCTTTTGAAGTATGGCCTCCTTGCCAATAGTAGATATTTTGCCTCTCAGAATCTGTTGTGTTTTTAGCCACCTGTAATTCTGTGCTAGGAGAAATGAAGGAGAAAGAAAGGAAAGGTCAGGGCATAATGAAGGAAATATGAAAGGAAATAAGGAAATGCAATAAAAAATCCCTCATATGTGGGATATGTGCCTGGCTATTATTGTGTGACCACGATAGGTAGGGTTACCAAGTCAGGAGCATTCAAGTCTACAGCAGACTGTTGTGGGGAGTCTTTACACCCCAAAATTCATTTCATTGTTTTTGCTCAGAGATTCCTTTCCCTCATCCTTAGGAGAGACCAGGCCTGGTTTTGTTGAACCAGTGACATGTCTTGTGCTATGTTGCCAGGTTTTGTCAGCCCTGTTAAGTTAAATCCCTCAACAATATCTGCTCAAACCACTGGGTTTTTTTTCCATCGGTTTGCTGTATGCCTAAAAGCTTTGAAAATTTTACATCCCTTCTTTATAGATTTTTCAATACCTGTAGGGTTTGAGTGAATGAGCCTGATTCAAGGTCGGTCCTAGGACATTATTCTTTCGCAAGTTGTTTACAATCTGGTGTTTGGATATAAAAGGGTGGAGGTTTTGCCATTTCACTGGACTTATTTACTAACTGTGATATTGCTATCTTTCTTTTTTCTCATTAGTGCAACAGCGACTATGTACCTGTGTGTGGTTCCAATGGCGATACTTATCAAAATGAATGCTACTTAAGACAAGCTGCTTGCAAACAGCAAAGCGAAATACTCGTTATGTCAGAAGGATCATGTGCCACTGGTAGGTGTTATTCAGGATGGAGGTGGGAAACTGGTTAAGGGGAGTGATTTTTTTGTCCTTTGATGTCAACAGCATATGCATTGTTTTTGAATAATGCCCAAACATCTAAAGTAGGGGCATCAGGAAATATTTCCAGATTTGGGAAAAAATGTATTTTTGATGTTGTATATTGAATGGACTGGTGCCTCTTTAATATGCAAATTATCAATGTTTTTGGAGGTGATGGGCAAATACCACTTATTTCCAAGAAAAAGACCAATCTGGGGTATTCTTGGGATGAGTTGGGATGCATAGTTTTGCGGTACATATGGTCACCAAGCTGTGTTTTGCACTCTCTTATCTAGAAGTTGGCCTAAAACTAAATCCAAGAGGCTGTATGTGTATGGTGAGTCATTTTTTTCATTGCCCCAGACTCATCCCAGATGAATAATTGAAAGCTTGGCACGCTTGCAGAACTACTCCTGATTCTTTTTGTCTTGGCATAGTCTTTCAGAGCAGAACTGCTCTTGATCCTTTTTGTCTTGGCATAGTCTTTCAGAGCAGAAGGAACTGGTCTACTTTCTTTTAACAGTTGTATTATGTCTTGGCTATGCATATATAGTTAAAAGCCGAAGAATCCTCCTTACTTAACTAGACAGAGCAGAAACCACAAAAGAGCTTGCATTGTGTTCTTTCCCATTTTTACCATAAAATTGAATAAGCGGAGTGGCAGCTGGTTTAGAGTAAACTTGCCAAAGAAAATAGCCTGCTAAATAATACAATTATGAGCTTTTACATGGTTAGTTTATTGCTGTTTTTTTCCATCTATATTTGTATGCAGTGCAAAAGCTGCCCAGTCACCTCTGGCAGGAATGGTAACTATGATAGTATTTCAGCCCCTCCAGCATTACATAGATAAAAACTGGGACTTGTGTAGCCAAGCAATAGCAGTGTCTGGGCAAGAAGGCAAAATCTATTAATAAGAAAGAACATACAAGCTAGGAGAGGTTGCAACAGTTTGCTTTTTGCTGTGTTTACTGGCAAGGGCAATTTTTTGCTCTCTCTTCTTTTTTCCCCTCTTTTGAGGTAATTGAGTGCAAACTCCTTTTGTACTTTGAACTCGGTTTAAAGCAATTGAAAGAAAGGGGAGACACCAGATCCCATGTGATCTTGGAAGCTAAGTACTTTCAACTTGGGTTAGTATTTGGATGGGAGACTGCTAGCAAATATCCAGTGCTGTAGACTATATTTCAGAGTAAGGAATTGGCAAAACCACCTTGCCCAAGAAAACCATATGAAAAATACATGGAGTCAGCATAAGTTGACACACAACTTGAAAACACAAACATAAGAACAAAGGGGGAAAGTCTGAGGAGAAGAAAGAGACTGGAACATTTCTTAAAATGTAGCTGAAAAGTGAAATTGCAGTGGATGCTGTGGGATTGGCTGTGCTAATGCAGGATAGTTGGAAAGTATGCACGAGTGATCAATACAGGTTCTTACAAAAGTGAAAGAAAAGTGGAAGTGGAAAATAGTGGGGGGAAACTGAGAAAAATGGGACAGACTTGTTTAGTTTTAGTTTTGCTCTCATCCACTTATTTACCACCATTATTACTAACATTACTCAGATGAAAAGAAGACTATAATAAAAATATATTGCAGTCTATACTTTTAAAAATGACAGCAGTTTTGAAACCAGTGCCCAAGGGAATGAGAGAGATCCACACGAAGGACCTCATAACATTAATCTTCAGCCTGCAGAACAGAGCCATGACAGAGTCTGTCAGAGCCCATCACATGACATAGGACTACTTCCAACAGGGCTCATGGCTGCATCCTGGAAGTGTCATAGGACGGAGTCAAGCAAACATAAAAGCCTTCCCATGTTCTAGTAAAAAATCAATGGGGAAAGCTCAGGGGGAGGCCAGGCAGCATCGCTTCCCTCCATGAGGTAGGGAAGGGGATGATGCGGGCAAGGTAGGGTGTGGGGTGACGGTATCCCCCACAGTCTGCCAGATTTGTCCCTCTGTCCCATGGATTCCCCTACTTTCCCCCAGATTGAATTGCTTAATGTGATAAGGTCCTAGATTGCTCTTGTATTTTTGGTTCATTGACAGTTCTAGATGTGATAGCATCTAGAACTGAGGCATTTCCCTAATAGAAGGAAGCTGTCATAGGAGAATATAGGAAAAGGAGAAGGAAGTTGTAAGTCAGCAACATGTTTGAAACAGCTCAAAGAATCAGAGATACTATGTACCATAAGCATTATTATTATTATTAATACTCCACTTTTCCTCTCCAAAAAGGAGACTCAAAGTGGGAGACTCAAACAATATCTTCAACATTGTTGAAGCAATGTTAGTCATTTTATCTTAAGAAACCAGGCATAAAAGAGTTCTAGAATGACTTCAATGGTCATTATTTTGTAGTGTCCAGGGAATGCATAAAAGATATAAAAAGTGAAGAGAGATTAAACAGACGGAAGCAAATGCTTTCTTATTTTATCAGGCAAACATAATAATCAGGAAACTTTTTGCCTAGATCTTCAGGCTCAGAGAAATGCCTGTGTGGGGGAAGATAATCTCATTTGTAATCATGAAAAGCAGCACAAAGTTGCATTATTGCTCTTGGTCTCTGTAAAGATAAGATTAGAATGACCATGGCTATGTCTATATGGCCAAAATAATGTGGAGTCACTGCTCAGTTGCTGCCAGGAATTCACATGATGCATGGTGGGGTTTACTGCAGATCTGCAGCATCTAGCTGTTCATCCATGATAGTGAAACACGGGATTTTCTCTTGAGCTTCCTAGAAGTTCCATAGTATTTCGACAGTTTCAGAGTTGTGGACAAAGGATCAGGCTGGATACATTCCCGATCCACTACCTGCACTGCCAATAGATCCACTGGTGTGTTTTTGCCAAGAAGCAGTTCTATCCCAGAGGCTTACTAGTAATATCACATTCCTGAAGATGTCATGTGACCAGAATGGTACACCACCAGCACGCCTCTGGGAGAGAGTAGCTTGGTGGCAGTGATATACCAGCCGGCCAGGTATACAGTCTTAGGCCCCTGGGAACACTCCCAGGACTACATCAGAATGGCTCTGTAATAATCCTTTTCACCAGATCTCTTTATAGTACATGTAGACGTGTACGGAAAATGAATCCTACCGTATGGCAGACAAACCTTTGCTTGGAGAAGTGGTAAACATAGGATTGGTATGTGAGATCTAGTGTCATCCCCTTGTGTTGTTTCAAGAGTGGGCACTAGTGGTGTCATTGAGCATAATAAAAAGTCATGATACATGAAGCATCGGTCACAGAGAACGCCCTTCAAATAGTTTCATCATTAACTGCTATCTGTCATAAGTGGGAAAAATTCTGTGGTTCGAAATTCCATTTTTCAAGCTCTGCATTAAGTAGAAGACAAACACATATACATGTTCTCCATAAGTTTTTTACACAAGATATACTGTCTATTTGAAGAACATATTTGGGAAAGGTTTCCCATCCTCTCCCCCCCTCCCCAAGTAGTGTGTAAATAATAACCCAGAAATTATGATTTTCAAAGTCTCATTTCAAAAAATTCCTTACCTGAAAAACAAGCACGATCTTTTTAATGGCTTGCTGTCTCATCTTTTATTTAGACATGCATACATTAGTGAATTGTTTTAATGGCAAATCTTAGTTATCATGGCATCATTTAAAATGAAGGTTTAAACAGAAAATAAGAATGATGATGGAAGTTTGCAAACTGGACTAACCGGGTTTGACTGTGGATAAATTGGGATTCTGAGTCTCAGCTTTCAGACAGAATTCCAATGTTATATCTTGCAAGAACTCCATTGGTTTTCTTTAACTGACTGTGACACTGCAGAGTGTTGTGAACTGGGTCTCTGCTGGAACAAAGCTCTGATCTGTCTCGTTTTCCTTGTTTCTTCACATATAAAGATTTCTTTAAAGAAATATTCTGATTTTTAATATTAAAATTACTTTTAAACTACCTTTGAAATTTCTGTTCAATGTACATTTCAAGCTGCAGGGACTCTTAACAAAGCTTTTGTAGTGACTAGTCATCTGGGTATAGAATATTAAACTGATCTGCCTTGGTCCAGAGTCTTGGAACAAATGTTCAAACTGTGTGCATGTGTGCATGCACGCACACACGCACACACAAACACATATCTAGGATTAGCCTTTGTTTTCAGTTATTACCTGTCCCAAGTAAATTAAACACTCTTTTTGCATTCATTGCCAGAGTGATCACTGCAGAATATTCAGCTCTTCTTCAAAGCCATTAGATCAAGGATGTTAGTCTTATGGCCCTTGACCTGATCTCTAAAGTCCTCTATGAACTATTAGTTCAAAGCCTTAGAACAAGCGATATCTCTCTTCACTGGCATCCATGTCCAGTCCATGATTTTGAGGGCACTTGGGCAATGCCCCCTCTCACAATGAGCCTGCACTGCATGACTAAGAAGTAAGAAAGAAAAAGATGCAGGTTGTTTTTTGTTGGTTGGGAACACCCTTGAACTACATTGTCATAGCACAGTGGTTCTCAGCCTAGGGTCCCCAGATGTTTTTGGCCTACAACTCCCAGAAATCCCAGCCAGTTTACCAGCTATTAGGATTTCTGGGAGTTGAAAGCCAAAAACATCTGGGGACCCCAGGTTGAGAACCACTGTCATAGCATCTTGTAATGGCTCAAAGAACCAGAGTAACAGTTCATAGGTTCAGAGTAACTATGTATGGGAGAAGAACCTTCATTGTTGTTGTAGCAATAGCATACATCTTGTCCCAAGGAGTTAGACACAGAAGACCTAGAACCTCATCAACCCCCCCCCCCATCCCCAATGGTGTTTTGCTAGCCTCAGTGGCAAAATGTTTGTTGGGAACACCCTTGAACTACATGGTCATAGCATCTTGTAAGTGTTTGAGGGACGCTTCCTCTATCACATGGGGGGAATTATTTATTTATTTATTTATTTACTTTATTTGTATACCGCACTCTCTCAGCCCGTAGGCGACTCAGTGCAGTTTACAACCAAACCAATATACAAAGTGCACAACATTAGCAATTAAAACCATATCTAAGGCAACTACATCAATATAATAATAATATAACAATAAAAATGGTGCTGAATTTGAGCCAGCACAACATGGGAGCATTCCCATGTTAGGAAAGTGTCCTATGACACTTCCACTCCAGTTGGGATCAGGGCTCTAACAGGAATTGCAGAGATGTTGTGTGATGGGCAGCATGCTCATCCATTGCTGGACTGTCCTTTTGGTGTCCTAGGATGCTAAAAAAAGGTAAGTGTGATGAGGGCTCTATAGCATGACTTTTGCTGTTTGATAGTTTAGTGTACAGAGAATGCATAAGTATAAGTTGAGTATCCTTCATCCAAAATACTTGGGACGAGATGTGTTTGGGATTTTATTTCATTGTATTATTTTTGGGCTCGGCCTCATGTTAGCCGCCCCAAGTCCCCATTGGGGAGATGGTGGCGAGGTATAAATTATTATTATTGTTGTTATTATTATTATTATTATTAATAATAATAATAATTATTATTATTATTATTATTTCAGAATATCTGTATTTGAGTAAATGTACATAATCAGATGTCTTTGAGATGGATACAAGTCTAAACACACAATTCTTTCATGTTTCATATACATATTATACACATGACCTTAAGGTAATTTTATATATTGCTTCTAATAGTTTTGTGCGTGAAGCAAAATTGATGCATACTGAACCAGAAAGCAAAGGTGTGCCACCGTCTCTGCTACCCATGTGGACAGTTTTTAAGATTTTTTTTTTAGCATTTCAGACTTCCAAATAAGGGATGCTCAACCTGCAATGGCTAAAACCAAAGCAGTGTTGAAGTAACTATAGTAGAATGTCTTTGTTGCTGCCTTTAAAACTTTGAAGCATTTGCAGTGGCATTTCAATTTAAAAGAGCCAATAAAGTGCTGTGGTTTAGACAATGACATAAACTATAGTATTCCCCATTCCTAGGTCTTCAGATATTATTGGGCCACAAATCCAATAATCCCAGACAATGTGGCCAATGGTCAATAACCAAGAGGATCTGGTTAGCTGCATTCGTACTGACCACCGGGTGTGGGTATGTTGTGTCTTATCCGAGGTTGTGTTGTAGATTATACTCCACACATCCTACCACCTAATGTTGCTTTATTCCTGTTTGCTTTGAAGAGCTGCCTTTAAGAGAAAAAATTCAACAAATATCTTGCTGAAGAACATGAAATGAAATTTCATAGTGAAAGAAAATAGCATTGCCAACCTTGGTGCTGTAAATGGAGAATTAAAGCAGGGATACCTCTAGCATTTTTATACAACTTAAAACGATAATTTCAGCAGCAGAAAGAGCGCTCACATGAAACATTTAGGCCAGATCTCTATAATTTACAGAGGAAAGACATCAAAAGCACAGTTCTCTCAAATACATTTAACTAAACAGAATGTGGCTTTGCATACATATAAGCTAGCCTCCTGCATACAGATACATATATATTGATTTCCCCCCTCTCTCTTCTTTCTTACAGATGCAGGCTCTGGATCTGGAGATGGAGGTAGGAATGTTTTAGTGCTTTTACCCCACCCCACCACATCACTGAACTTGTTCAAACTGCTTACTAGAATGTAATGTCCTTACTAGTGGTTCTGTTGTGCTATCCTATATTGTCTCCTATATGCATTTTTTTCCTCATCAAGTGACAGGATGCATTTTATTCCCACTGCAGCTGTCTAACAAAGAGCTGTTTTTTTTAGAGAAAATTCAGAAAGCTTTCCTTTTTTTTGTGCTCCTGAGAGAGTTTTGTATTATTCATGCTTCAACTAGGACTCTATCTCCATCTACTGTTACTAGCATTCGTGTATCTCTTTTTGTGGTGGGCCTGTTTGTTTTTGTTATTGTATGCTTGACAAATTTAAAAGTGGTTTCCGAGAGTTCCCCAAGGTTTTTCTTTCCCAGTATTGAGGGGAGTGGAACCCAGAAGGAAATGAAGAAGAAAAATCCATGTTTCGACAGTAGTCATATCCGACATATTTATTTCCAAGCTAGTTTATTCAGTTAAGCCTTTCTGTAGGTAATAAGCTTAGCCCATCCAAAAGTAAGCACTTAAGGCTGTAGTCTTATCCACATTTAAACAGGAACAGGTTCACTATCTGCAGTGGGACTTACCTCTGAGTAAATAGGCAGAGGTCTCTCATTGAAATTCATGAGATTCAAAGGAAATTCCCATGCTAGATGTGTTTTGCTTAGGCTTGATTGTGCCCAGACTGTTTGCATTTCTTCCGGCAGAGGGATGAAGCATATTTGACTGAAGTCACTCTTGCACATGACGTGGTCAGAATTCGAGAATGTCTTTGTTTAAAGTTTTTTATGGTATAACTTGTGCTTAAGCTTTCAATGAGGACTTTGTCACAGATGTGCAGGTCTGGCCATTGTTCATTCTTCTGTCGCTCATTCTGTATGTGTGCCAGATTTACTGGCACACAGATTTACTCTCTTGACATTTTTGTTTTGCTTAGAATATTTTGTGCAGAACTAATTTCTAGATAGCTTTGAGCCAACCATGGAAGTTCCCTCTTCCTTTTTGATACATCTTGGAATGTAGAGATTTTGCCTAATACTAAGTATGCTTGTGTATGGATTCGGAGTGGTCAGTTCCCTTCAGTCAATCTGGCTTGACAGCCTTAATGGTAAGGAGTCAGCCATTAGGTTTTTGTCCATTATGGGACCACATAGCAGCCAGTCACAGCTGCTCCTCCCCTATTTGGTACCATACAACATGGAGAGGCTGCCACATGATGCTTGCATGTGGTTTCCCTGTGAGCCCTGCCTGTTGGGCCAATCAGACAGAATAGAAGAACGCAGTGACTTGTATTATGCAAACTGTGTCTAAGGAAAGGGTCCCACGAAGGATGCTTCCTTAACCCCATTCTTCAAACATAGACTCCCTTGAAAGGAAGATAGGAAAGTGTCCTAGGAAGGATGCTTCCTTAAGCCCTTCCCATAAATCCAGGTTTCCTTGCAAAACAGAAGGGAAAGGATCCCAGAGACAGTGTTATCTTAAGCCCTGCTGCTGCTCCTGGAGAAGTTATAGGGCAGGTCCAGAAATACCTTTTGGGGAATTTTTTTAAGGCAGTGGTTCTCAACCTGTGGGTCCCCACATGCTTTGGTCTACAACTCCCAGAAATCCCAGCCAGTTTACCAGCTGTTAGGATTTCTGGAAGTTGAAGGCCAAAATATGTGGGGACCCACAAGTGCAGAACCACTGCTTTAAGGAGATTTTATTTCTGAAAAGAAAAGAAAAGAAATTTATAAAAAACAGGGAATGGCCCAAACATTATGAAACTTGGTGGGCTAACAGTGGTAAATGTGTCCTCCAAGTGTGGTCATTTTCATCCTGATAGCCCAAAAAAGATGAGAAGGGGACCCTGCGGAGCCTTCTATTGCCACCGATGGGCTGGATCTAGCTGTATTTTCCAGCTGCAGCCTTAAATTGGCTATCCAACTACCTGCCCATTTTCAGGAGGTGCACAAAAACAAATATGGGAGTCTACTGGAATCCGGCAAACAGAAATGGATCAGGGTTCAGCCAAAATGCACAAGCTTAGTACTAGGTAAAGTCTAAGTAAGGACCATTTGCCATGGTATTATTTGTTCATGCTGATAGCCAATAATTATGCATGCTTTGGGACAGAAATCTTTCCACAGTCTTGAAAATGGCAGGATTTGACATGGAGCTGTCACAGTACAAACCCTGTATCTGCAAGGGATATAATCTATAATTTCATATGCATTTGTAAAACTATGAATAATATAAAATTCTTGGAGAGGACATAAATGAGACCACAGGTACTCGTTCTGCAAATATGGGGGTCATAATGTACATGTAAAATGTAAATCATGTACTTGTTTTGCACAAGAACAACTTGTTTGCCTGGCTTGCAGCTGACTGTTCCACTCATTGATAAATCCTTGAGTCTGTTATAAAGCCAACTCCTTTCGTCTGTAAAAAAAAATGTTTGGTGCTTTGTTTTAAAGTAAGTAAATGTACTAGAGATGCTTGTGAGTAGTGGTAGGGATTCAAATAAATAGGGCTGTTTCATCTGTGCACAATAGTTGAACAGTGAAGTGTGGGTTTGGGTAGAATGGAGCACAGCTCACCCTAAGACATGTTACCCTTTGCTCTTTGCTTTCTGTTTTGTCTTCATGCAACAGAGTTTGGAAAAAGCCACCATGGCTGTGTCGGCAAAGGGATGCTGAGATTTGTAGCTCAAGAGCAAGTTCAGTTTTTGTAACCTAAAAATATGTTGTCGTAAAAGTTTCTGCTCTTGATACCGGAACCATTGGCTAGAACCCCTTCCACCATATATGCATGCGTAAGTGTGGGCATATCCCTTGCTTATGTCTCTTTTTTTGATGGAACACAAGATGTTCTTTTGTAGCCCATTGTGCAAAACACTCCAACTAGCCACCCAACAAATTTCAGGAGGGGTCATTAGTGCTGCTGTTTACCATTTGGGAGAGGAGAGGGCAGTGGGATAATTCAGTCAAGGGGCAGGGGTAGAAATATGGATTTTAAATGCTATTTTAGTATAGCTACTGTATTTTAATATTTTTTGCCACACTGCTTCTATTTAATTGCTTTTTAATTGCTTTTTAACTTTTGTATTGCATCTTTGAAACTTGCCTAGTATGGAGTGTTAGCCGCCTTGAGTCCCCACGGGGAGAAAGGTGGGGTATAAATAAATATAGTAAATATAATAATATGATATAATAAACCCATAAGTGCATTCACATTTCCTTTGCCTTCTGAAGTTAGATGAACCAATTTGTGGGAGTTTGAAGTTCCTTCCTGTCCTCTCCTCTTTTCACCAGCTTGGTAACTGTAAGGGCAAGGTCTTAAATGGGGTGCAAAAAGCTAAAAAACAGCTCCTGATGTCCTGTCAAAAAAAAAAAGAGAAATACTTAGGGGTGACATGGAAGTTTTACGTGGGATCTTATCCAGATCTCTAGTGATCTTCATCCTCATTTTTTTTTTTGCTAGAGTTTGCTAATGGAATGACTTCTTTCCCTGAGACCCTGGATCTTTGAAATTGCACCTTCCTATAAATCAGCTTCCTGATTCTCACTGGGTGATGGTCCATCAATGTTTCCACAAGCAGCTAAACAGATGGGTTGTTTTACAGAGTACTTATAGATCAAGGCTATGTAATGATCTACCAACTTCGTATTTATCCTGTTTGTTGGGAAGTTGCCTCTTTGAAGCAATCGCACTTGCATTAATTAACCTTTTTTTTTTTACAATGAAGCTACGCGCTATGCTCAAAATCTATTTATCCCAATATCTTCTGGTGATGAGCAGAGCTTAGAAGTAACTGGTTACAAATATCAAGTAATTAATTCCCTTTTCCAACAAGAAAGGCATAACCATTACAATATGATTATAATTTAATGATGGATAACTTGGCTTATGTCAGTGATGAACAAAGTTTTTGAGCTTGGTGTGTCAAAACCCGCCAAAAAACTGAGCATAACTCAGGTCGAGTGTCACTTCGAGAAAAAAAACCAATATAACAAAAATATATTATTGTAATATATAATTGTATTTAATAAACCCAAAACTAATTATTTAACTTACCTGCTTTTTTCTATAATGTCATATATCTCGGCATTATAGAAAAATGCTGGTGCAGGAGCTGAGGATGAAATGTCCTTCTCGGGATGCAGCCCCATTCTTCTGTGTATGTGGCTGGATGTGGCCGCGTGTCATCAAAAATGGCTACGCGTGTCAGTGCTGACACACGTGTCATAGGTTCGCCATCATGGGCTTATGTTATAGTGTAACATTTTAATTATTTTCATGCTTAGAAGGGCTGTCTAAGTGGGGGAGGGGGGAGGAGCAGGACATAACTGAGTTGCTGGCTTTTCCTGTGCCTTGTACAACTACATTCACTTTTTAAAGTAACTAAAGGTTTTAGAAATGTTTTAAAAAGTAACTTCCACATTCTGCTACTATGTACTGTGAGGACTTGGGAGAAACACAGTCAATTTACTCAATTATGATTCATGTTGAGTAATTAGAAATGTATGCTGAGGGTGCACAGTTCACTGTCTGGTCAGATTGCCTTCTCTTACACAGGAACTGCATAGTTTAATTTCTGAATTTTGTGAAAACTCATTTCCCTTTGCTGTGTCAAATTAACGATTATTGGTATTGACCAGATGGGTGGCTTGGCTTTGGTTCTGTGTATCAGTCAGCAGCATCTGCCAAGAGTCAGGCTATCCAGTACAAATGAATGTGTGCTGCCTGCAGAGTTAAGAATTTTTTCTTGGAAAAAAAGGACAGTAAGTACGTTTTGTTTGCAATATATCCATCCACCTCACAGTCATATTTGTGGACTGTAAGAGACAGCCATTACAACACAGAGAGAGTTGAAAGAGGTGCAACCAGACAGTATTCATTATAAGCTTGGATTTTGGAATTACATCCAAAATATTGATGGAAACTATGGCTCTCATCTCAAAATGTATACTTGGAGATGGAACACGGGGCTGTCA